AGGGTTGTATCCTTTTACCATACTTATTCAATCTGTATGCTGAGCAAATAATCGGAGACACTAGATTATATGAAGCAGAACACGGCATCAGGATTGGAGGAAGACTCATTAACAACCTGCAAGAACAGAAGACACAAACTTGCTTGCTGACAGTGACGAAGACTTGAAGCACTTGCTGATGAAAATCAATGACTAGTCTTCAGTGTAAAGAAAAAAAATCCTTACAAGTGAACCAACAAATAACACTATGATAAATGGAGATGGGAGTTCTGGTGTGGCACTCTAGGATAAGCACTGGTACCAAGCATGGTAAATTAGAGGATCAGCAAAAAAGAGGAAGCTGCCGCCCCCAACAAGACAGATTGCTGCAATAATGGACTTAAATGTAACAACTGTGAGGATGGCACAGGACTGGGCAGTGTTTCATGCTGTTGTGCACAGGGTTGGAACCAACTCGAGGGCACCTGACCCCAACAGATAACTAAGACACTATTAGAGTTGCTAAACTGAGGTTGCCAGTTTCCACCCTTCCCCACCTGGTGGACCTACAGTAGAAAAAAACATGAGACCAATTCAAACGGAGAAATGCAGAGCAGAGACAAGAGACAGATGGAAAGATGGAGCCCTGCGCATGGTGCTGAGTCTCAAATTCCAGTTCCTAAAGTTCTGGTAGTACAGCTTTTTTCTGATTCCATAATCTCTACTTCCACCACCACCACCATAGCCCAGAGCTTTTTGCTTAAGCTAGTATGAGTTGGGCTTCGGACACCTTTGACAATGTAAAAAAAAAAAAAAAATATATATATATATATATCGTTAACATATACTCAATGCAGACTGGACTGGGGAGAAATACAGCTTGATTCTTAGACAGAAAATGGTTTTACCTTTCACCTGAGCCCAAACTGCACAGGAGTATCTTCTCACCTATAAAGAAAAGCATACCAACACATTTAATTATGAGAACATAGTGCATTGTTTAAATAATGAACTTTAGCCCTCCGAGTTTCAGCTTTTTGCTCTCTTAATTTGAACTAGGTGATTACTTAGCTCTGTATTAAAGCCCATCTAGCTCCAACATCATATGATTCATACTAAGTGTTCAAGGACTAGCAGAAACAGCAGGAAGGGAACAGCCACCCTACAGATCACTTCCTATCGTTTTCCAATATCTCAGAAAGCACATATTATGATTATATAATAAGAGTGGTAATCGGTTTCATTTCCTTTGCCAGTTCTGAGTACTGAGAACTTTGTTTCTGGAGATCTATGCTGGAAAGAACTCAAAAGTCACATCCAGGTTTAGCAAGAATGTAATAAGCTTGTAATAAGAAAGGCTATGAGAAGTCCTGGCATAGAATAATCCCTCACTGATGTGGACAACATGCACATAGCAAACAGCAGTGTTTAGTTAGCCAAGTGTAGGCCAAAACCAAAAAACAGACTCATAACTTCACCTTCTCTTCTTCTCCACCCCCACCATGATTATGTGTTTCTCTGGCTGGAAATGGTGAGTTGGTGTATATGATAAGACTCGGTAAGCTATTCCCCAGAGGAAGCTGAATAACTGTTATCATAAATCAATTCTGATTCATAGCAATCTCATAAGACACACTAGAACTGTCCCATCGGGTCTGCAAGTCTGTAATCTTTACCAAAGCAGACTGCCACACCTTTCTCCCAATGAAAGGCTGATGGGTTTGAACCACTAAATTTAAAAAACAACAACAACAACAACTTTTTACTGTGACTTGAGTGAAGGTATACAGACAAGATCATCAGTTTTACATTGAACAAATCACACTGTTTCATCTCAATGATTGCAGTCCCCTCCCTGCAACAGTCCCGCTTACTCTCTGTGCTTCCTATTTGTATTCCATCCACCTTCCCATCCCTTCTCAACTTTATCCTTAAGTAAACATTGCCTTTTTGATTTTGAATAATTGACCATTCCATGGTGAGCATATCCTACCAGTGTTGTTGTCTCCCTCCCTATGTACCTATCGACTACTTGGCTGAAAATTGAGCCAGGAGGGTGAGTTCCTTTCCAGACCTAAAGGGTGGTCAAGGCCCATAGTTTCAGGTTTCTCCAATCTCCTTCTGATCAGAAAGCTTGGCCTTTTTAAAAAAAATAATAATTTTGAGGTTTGTTCCACATTTTTCACTCATTCTCTCTGAGACTTTCTAATGTGATCTCTTTCAGAGCAGTTGGTAATAGTAGCTGAGCACCATCCTCTTGGTCTCAGAGTCATAAAGACTGACATTCAAATGTTCCATTAGTATGCTGGACTAATTGATTCCAAGCATCTTCAGTTCTCATCAGTCTTTTGTTTTTCTGCACATGGAGAGATGAATAGCTGTACCTTGATAACTGTTCATGAGCTTTTAAGATCCCAAACGCTACTCATCGAAGTAGGATGTAGAACATTGTGTTTGTGGACTGTTATGCTAGTTAACTGTGGTGTCCCCTAAGACTATAGTCCTAAGCCCCCAGGCCCAACAATTCATTGCCTTAAGATGTTTGATAATATCTAAGAAGCTTTCATAATGTTCTTGCTGTATGCTCCACCACACTCATTTTTTGTGTTTGCAGTAAAATTAGTTGGTTGGTTATGTGCTGTGCAGTTGGTTCCAACTCATAATAACCCTGTATAAGGTTTCTGAAGCTGTAAATTTTAATCGAGCAGAAAGCCTCATCTTTCTCACACCGAACAGCTGGTAGTTTTGAACTGCTGACCTTGAGGTTAGCAGCCCAATGAGTAACCCTACATTACCCAAGCTCTATAAATAACCTTTTTTAGACTCATATATTTGTGAATCACTGACTTTTTGGTTAGCAGTCAAACATTTAAACACTGTTCTACCAGGGCTCCTGATGTTTAATTTTAGAGGAGGAGTTGTAAAATAATCAGAAACAGATTTGGTAAGATTAGGCTTGGGGTTGTGTAAGTGATGAGTTTGAGAGGAAGCCTATTTAAGAAGTGTTAAAATAGGAAAAGTGTGACCAAGCCAGCACAGTGGCTATGATCTCCAAGGAGAAGATATTAAGTGACTACAAAGACAAAGTCCATTAGTCTGAATGTGGGAGAGGGACTGAGTTTGAGTAACTGGTAGGATGACCATGACTCTCACTAGAAATCAAGTCCCCATTGGTCTCTGTGGTCCCAGAGGGCAAGGGGCAATCCCACACAAGAAACTACAACTCAGGATCCCAGAATCTCATAGCAAAAGCTATCCTAGTAAAAACCTGACTAATTTATAGTCCAGTTGAGCAGCTTGTGTGGATCACAGTCATGGGAAGGCCAACAGGAAAACCATCTGGGCAGGCTGAGCTCAGGACCCAGGCATAAGCAATGGAGGGGGAAACTATGAGATAATTCCCTTTTTGGTTTTCTAGATGAAAAACTTGTTGTACCAAACTGTCACCTATCACCTGAATTAGCATCACTTCAAGAGTCACGTCATAATAATGGAAGAAGCATAAGGTGAGACGGCAGCTAACTCTTCTAGCAAATTGGTCACTTGTGAGTCTTGCAACCGTGTTTCTTTCCCCCTACCTAACTGGGACATACAATTTTTATAGAATCCATTTTTTAAATGAAAAAGGTCTAGTAACAATAAGAATCACTACTGGTTTTAATGTGACTGCAGTACTAATATATGTATACAAAACCACAGGTAAGTAACTGCAGTGCAAATCTGAAGCCCAAATAGACATTTTTCAGAGTCCCTTTAATCTCCTTCGTCTGCACCCCAAAGAACAACCACATATTCTGCTCAGCTATATAATAAAGCGATACCAGTGAAATCACAGGAAAGTTACCAATAAACTAGGCTGATTTTCCTAAACTCCAGCATCATTCCCTCCCAGACCAAAGTCTTAACCTGGGACAGCAACACTCTGGAAACTCTCTAAATTGTATCCTTTCTGTACTGTCAGTGCCTGGTCTAGGGTAAAACATTCCAAGTCAGGATCTCTAGGGAAGTTTCTAGCCTTCTCTAAATTGTAAAACCTTTTGAATATATTCAGGGCAATATATTCTGAACTTCAAATGTCCAGTTCTTAATTCTTACATTATTCTCACAAAACACTCCCAAGCCTCTTTTGCTACTTAAGCACTTTCTTAAAAGTAGCCATTTGTTTCATATCAAGCATGATAATGGCACATTAGACTTGTGTCCGGAGTAGCTCAGTCTTAGATATGTGATGAACCTTCCACTCAAGAAGGCTTAACCAGTTTTTCCTCAAATTCACCATTCAAAAGATGTTTGTATTCATATAAATAAATATAAGGTTTCTAGTGTCTAAAGGAGTCCTGGTGTAGCGCTGCAGCATAAGCACTGGACTGCAAGGTCGGTTTGAATTGCAAGGTCGGTAGTTCAGACTCATCAGTCACTCCTGGGAAACCCTATACAGGGTCACTATGAATTGAAAACAACTTGATTGCACTTAACAACAACAACAACAGTGTCTATTACGAACCCAGTGGTATAAACACAGGTTTACACCAAACTTAGGGTTCTCTCAAGACATAACGGTTCTTCCAAAAGATGTGGCATCCCTACCTGACTAATCAAGTTCTTGCTATTCTATTTGTCTAGCTCATTATATTTACTCATTAGCTAATGAATATTTAGTTCTATGTCTTATGAAAGAACTGCTTAAAAAATCATAGCCCTTCTAAAACCAGGGCAAAGAGGAGGATGGCCTATGCTGTAGTCAAGGATATGATATAAACAGGAAATAGCATTGTGCTTAGTTTTCCCATCCTTCCTGCTCCTCCAGAAGAGTGATGGGAAATTCATAGAGGGATCTTGGCATTCCTCTCCAATGTCATTGTTGTTAGTGTCATAGAATGTGGGCATTCTATGAAGGAGAATGCCAAAAGCAGGCCAATCCAAACACAGATCCAACAAAGGTCCCTGCAAGCAGTTTAGAATATCGACCAACATTAAACACTTCACCTGCCCATTCTTTATAAAGGCAAAGTAGTCAACAGTATAATAAACTCCTTATTTGTTGGTTATTGCATACAATGTCCAGTCTCAAATAGTAGGGAGGCAAGTATGCAAACATTTAAATTTTATGTGAAGAAAATACAGTGTTCACAGGGCTTCTAAAGTTATATACCTTGTTCCATTCACTTGTGATTCGTAATATAATGCAGTAATCCTTCCCTATTTTCAAGGGTGCATTATAATATTTCCCATAGTACAGCCTGTCTCCAATAGATATCTCCATGGCATCATCTGGAACATCTTTAGCCAATAGCTCTGCAGCCACATATCCGTCCGCATCAGTGGTGTTGCTAAAAAATGAGTTTGCTCCTTCAGAATCACAAAGAAATGTGCTTTGACGAGCCAGAGGAAGCACCAGTATCTGATATGAACTAGAGGAAAAAAGAAAAGTGTCTATCAGTCGCTTGCCTGGAACGACTCATTCATTTTTTCATAGGTATTGAGCACCTTCAATGAAACAGATACTCTTCTAGGTTTTGGGGACACAACATTGGGCAAGAAAGAGTCCCTGTCCACGTGACGATTACAGTCTGACACCTGCAACAACCAAGGAACTCTTCATGTCTTAACTACAGTGTTGACTTCAGAAGGCATTGCACGAGGGACCTCGCCAAGCTCAAGCTGTTGATGGATGCCAAGTGTACCCTCTTCAGCTGGGAGGAGTTGCTACATGGGTGACTGCCCTGTGTGTATGTGGCATCAAGTGATCTCATCAGTGATTTTCACATGGTCCCATAAAGCCTGGCTGTGGAACTGTGGAAAAACTTTAGCAGTCGCATGAAGAATAACTGCCTACATGATCCAGTATATTAAGTTTGAAGAGTGGCTCTCATCAACCACATGGGCCACCTAAAAAAAAAAAAAAAGCAACCTCATGTGATTTATATTTCTTACAGCTTACAGACTGATATGAAAGTTCATGTGAGAAAAGAAACACAGAATGCAAAATCTATGTGTTAATCTAGTTCGACACTATCCTGCAATAGCCAGCAAGATAAAAACGTCAACGGTTCCCTAACTGTGGATATAGAACACTACTTGAATAGAAATACACTGGTAGCAGGTGTATTGTGTGTTTTACTGTGACTTACAATGAAACAAACTAAAAAACCTGTCACTGAAAGAAAATGAAGAATTAAAATGGAGCAAAAATAAGTCACGTCTTCCTTTCTCTTCCCATCGATTTAGTCCTTATCTCCTGCCACTAGCTCAACACGTGAACATCTGCTCTCTCTGTCAGACTTCATTACAGTGTCTTCAATGATTTACTCTTGTATCTTTGCAAATCCTTGCACCATTTTTTGGTTATGAATGGCTCTCCATTAATGTTTCTGAGATGAAATGTCAGTAAAGAGAAAAAGCATATATCAGCAACAAAAATGATTAGGGTAATTTCCAAAACTCATAAGCAATATATTTCCATTTTGCCAGTAAATTTGCACTCCCTGCTCCACATTCCTCTTGCCCCATCTCCTTCATCCTAATGGCTCATGAATCACTAGGTTAAATAGCAGGAAGCCTACACCACTAGTTTTGGATGGTTCCTATCTATCAGGCCCCCAAACACCATGGATACTATTAAGAAATGCAGAGGTTTCTCAGGGGTCCTGAAGGCCCTGATTGCCACAAAATTTAGGTTCACTTTCAGTAAAGGGCTTTCTACAAAAGGGACAAAGTAAAGCCTTCAGAGCATTGAGTGGTCACAAAGCAATCAGTGCCCGCAAGGGAGCACTTATAACAACAAACTTCCTAGAAACTTGAAAACATCCTCCTGAATCATGGCCTTAGTTAACAAAGTGAATGTTGCAGCCGTTCCATGCTATGAACATATCTACAAAGCCCTCTTAACTTTCCATGCTAGGTGATGGTGTTCCAGGCTCACCTGAACATATTTGGTTCTGTACATTACCCACTAGAAACACCACTGTTGTAATGTGCCATCAAGTTGGTTCTGACTTACAGCGACCCTGTATAGGGTTTCTGAGGAGTAGCTAGTAGGTTAGAACTGCCAACTTTGCAATTAATATTCCAGTGCTTATCCTACAGCACCAAACCATTAATAAAGCAGGACTCCATTAATAAAGCAATCATTCCAGTAACACTGATCATAATCACCTGAGTTGCTTATGACTCCTACAAACCTCCATGTCCCATCCCAGACCTACCAAACTGAAATCTTCAGGAATAGAGTCCTGGAATTTGCATTACTAAGAAAGCACACGTGATTCCTATAACTTGGCAAGTGTGGGAGACCCTAGCATGTAGGGAGCCCAGCAATAGGCTGCATCATCTGCCTAAAATCAGCAAGCTTGGGGAGATGGGCCCTGCTCCACCATGGGTTAGAATTCACTGCCCTCATCTTTGTAGCAGAACAACATACACGTAGCAGACGCCTGTCTCCTGCACTGGAAAAGCTGCTGCCCTGAGCTCAAATCAGGTCGTCAGGCCCAGAAAATCATCCCACTGGTCTGTTGGTAATTAGACCTAATGACGCAAAGGAAGCAATTGTGGCTGTTTGGAACATGACTGTTCTGGAAGGCCTGCACCCCTCTTTCTCACCACCACACTCCCCTGAATGACTCACAGATAGCCACTTCCTGTTTTGGAGGCACTGGCCAGCACTGAACCTCAAGAGTAGACTGTCATTTGGCTTTTCTTTATGGCTTTCGTCATCATTTGGCTGAAATGATCACATTTGCTCTTGCAAATTTCCCAGGCAGCAAGGCTATATAACTCCTGTGTTCCTTTTAGCAACAGAATTACCATGCCTTCCAGTAACTTATCAGAACTCAAGATATGTAGCAATTTAGTCCACAGCCAGCCCTGGAAAGCCCTTTGGGCATTTACTCAACTTAAATTTAAAATATAAAAGTAGGATAAGCCTACATTGCACAAATAGACACACAATGTCCTTTGATTATAATTTGATAAAATCTCACTATATTTTTATGTTTAAGGGTCATTAGAATGAAGAGTCACGAGAAACACGGGGCAATGATTGTCATCTACTTGACCTGTTTCCATGAGCAGGTTGCTCATCTCTCCAGAATAACCTCAATCTTCCTTTTTTAAAAATTAGGAATCCTTTTACTTTCCTAATCTGGTGAGGCACTGCAAGATAAACACTGGACTGCTAACCACAAGGTTGGTAGTTCAAGCCCACCAGCTGCTCCTCGGAAACCCTATACAGGGTCACTATGAGCTGAAACTGACTAGACTGCACACCAACAATCCTATTAGTATCGTTGTGAATAAAATGCTTAACTGAAGACAGTATATCCATCCAGTGGAGCTAAATTAATTTCACCCTAATACTATCTGGAATCCAGAAATTGTCATTAACTACATACTGTCTTGCCCATAGGTCATAAAGGAATGAATAAAAAGAATTGTCCAAATGACCCTTTCAGAAACTACTACACATACTCCAAGACCAAGCTTAAATAAAGGCTTACATGTTCTGTGTTTTGTAATTAAATGGTTCTACTGACCCACCACCACTAAGGATCTACTCAGCTGCACATGCCCAGGATAATAGCTAATGTGTCATAGACATTCAACAAACGCTTGTCTGACAGCCAAATATATATGGGCTTAATTTTTTTTTTGTCTGAAATTGTTTTTATTTCATCTTGATTTTTTTCTTTAAATTTTATAGTGGTAATATATACATAACAATACATTTCCCCAATGATGGAAAAGGACTCATTACACTGAGTCCCTGGGTGACACAAGCTGTTCATTTACCTACTAACTGATATGTTGGCAGTTTGACTCCCTAGAGGTGTCTCAGAAGGAAGCCTGGAATCTACTTCTAAAATTAAAAGTCATTGAAATCCCGATGGAGCATAGTGCAACTCTCAAACACACAGGGTTACCAGAAATTGGCATCAACTCAACAGCAATTGGTTTGGTGGTTGTTTTTTAAACCACATTGCACAACTACTTGAGTGCAGCAACTCAATGCAGAAGTAACCTCTTCACCCAAATCAAAGTTTTCAAAATGCTCTATGGGGATCGCTGGGCAAAGGGCAGTTACTGACCTGATAGGTCCATTTTTCTCCTTGATTTTCCTTAATTTCAGGCGTGGTATAGGCCCTCCGTGCACTGTGAAAAACTCTACTTCTGGAGGGGGAGGCTCTGAAAGCATGTTGAAAAGAAGAAAAAGGATGTAGAAATTAAAAAAAAAAGGAATGGTCAAAATAAGTAAAAGCCCAGAGAAGGGAGTTTCATAGAGGCCACTGAGTGAAAACAGTAATGTAAGAAGTGATGAGTCCACCCCAGCACTGACAGAGGGCAGATGCTTGTGGGCATGATGATTTGCTTGGCAGGTAGATTATCTGGTGGGGAAACCAGCATATCAGACTATCATATGCTTTATAATCAAAGAGCTCTTTTGGTTCTTATTTTGCCCTGTCCAGCAACCAGATTTCCTACCTAGGATTTTCCATTGGGAAGAGAATATACTACTAACTGGCTAACATCAGTATTCTAGCATCTAACTGATAGTTACATTCACAGTGTAAATGTACCAGCTGGTATTCTGCCCTCTGGGTAATACAAGTATGTACTGGCTGTGTCTTCTGTATGCCTCATCTCTTTAATCTTCTTACCAATGTTATCAAGTGGTTATGACTTACAGACAAAGTCACTTTCCCTGTCTCTTGGTATTCCTACAAACTGGACCTAGGCCCAGGGCCTGCTACCCTGAAGCAAGTCTGAAAACATGTGTCCTACAGATTCAATTGTTCCACAGATGAAGCCTAGAGTTTAGACATGTGAGGAATACAATATAGGCTTCACTTTGGTCTCAGAATCAAGCCAATAAAACTGATTAATTGATCCCTATCCTGGTGTGGAGCTGTGGATTAATGCGCTGGACTGCAAAGTCAGTTTGAACTGCAAGGTTGGTGGTTCAAGCTCACCAGCCACTCTTTGGAAACCCTATACAGGGTCACTATGGGTCAGAACCGACCTGACGGCCCTTAACAACAATCTGACTTTTCAGGAGCTCTGGTAGCGTAGTGGTTACAAGTTGGGCTGCTAGCCTCAAGGTCAGCAGTTAGAATCTACCAGCCGTTCCGCAGGAGAAAGATGAGATGTCCTGCTCCCATAAAGATGTACAGCCTTGGAAACCCTGTACCAGGTTGCTATGAGTTAGAACTGACTCCATGGCACACAACCACCTACCACTATGTGACTTTTCTGGTGTGGTTCTGTAGGATTAGCACTGGACTGCTAATTGTGAGGTCGGCAGTTCAAACCCACCTTGGAAACACTCCTTGGAAACCCTAGACAGGGGCACTTTGGTTGGAACTGGCTCAATGACACATAACAATTTTCAATTATTCTAGACTCAGATTTGGAACAAATATGATTATTACCTCAGAAAAGCCCATTTTAATAGACGAGGAAACTAAAGTATAGAAAGATTAAGTACCCTGCTCAAGAGCGCATAGTTAACAAGTAGCAGAGTCAAGATTTGAGTTTGCAATACAGCTCGGTCGTTCAGCTTTAATCTCATCAGTGTTTGATGGCTCTGAATCCACCTAGCCAGCTCTCAACAACTTTGAGTGAACTAAGAAAATTCACTTTTAAAAGACTGGATGCACAAAGTTATCACAAATACATTAACACCAGGAAAAGAATCCTGACAGGCCTTCCCAGTGGGTTCATGTCAGAGAAGCTGAACTGTAATTAAGCTGCAGAAATGATCACTATCTTGTAGTGGGTAAGACTACAGGCGCTGGGTTACGATCCTTGTTCTACTGCTTATGACTATAGCTGCTTCCCAAGCTTGTTGAGGGGATTCATTAATCAAGAAGAGAAGGGAACTTAGAAGAGTGCCTGGAACGCAGTAGCAGTCAGTGCACATTAGCTGAGGTTACCATTTCATCTGAACGGCACAGCACACCCACTGTGTGCCAAGTACTATGCTGGCCTCTGTGTGTTTGCTTCTATTAAATCCTCACCGTCATTCTCTGTGACAGTGTCTCTACCTCATCAGGACTCAGGCAGGTCAACCACACACACCACTAGGAAAGATGAGTGTGGGGCCCACATCAAGTGGCTCCAAAGTCAGTTTTGCCACACTATCATGTTATGACATTGCTTGTGTCTATTTGACCTGAGAATAAACAATGACCTAAAATGGGGGACCAAGAAATGCAATTTCCTGAGGGAACTGGGATCCAGTGAGGCCATAACCAGAGATCATAAGGAATCGAAGACAGGCCTGGTAGATTGCAAAGACCAAAACCCACACCAAACCCATTGCCATCGAGTCACCTCTGACTCATAACAACCCAATACAGGTTTCTGAGCTACATCTTTACGGGAGGCAGACAGCCTCTTCCTTCTCCCTCAGAGGGGCTAGTGGTTTGGAACCACTCATGCTGAGGTCAGCAGTCCAGTGCTTATCCACAGCATCACCAGGATTCCTTGGCAAAGACCAAGACATTTTTAATGAACAGGTGTTCAAAGGGAAGAGATGAGTAGAGAAGAACACTCAGGAAAGGTCACGGGAAGGGAGGCTGTAGAGCAGGTTTCGTGCCTGCTAAGAACACAGGAAACACTATTCATACGCCTGTGACTGAGTCAGGGTCTATAAGACTGTTCGCCTTAGGAAAGGGGTAGCAACAATAAACAGAAGCTAAGGCATCGACTCTAAATCAGGACTGAAGAAAGGTGCTGCAGAGTGAAGAGAAGCCTGGCACAGCCCAGGTGCAGCTATAAACTTGTAATTGCAGAACTCTCAGAAGACAGGATGCCCTGGGCCTGAGGTTCTCCAGTCTGTACCTGTGGTTTTCTTTATACACGTTGCATGTTTTATGTATTTCTTTTATGTGTTCAGCATCCCTTTTTCTATTAGTAACGTTCTCACAAGGTTCTCACAACGTTCTCACAAGGCTGTCACAAACAGTCCCTCCAGACCCTCTGGCCACAGGCCCTGGTGATAACCAAAGATCTCCATTTTATAAGAGCAATCCATTTAACTCTAGGTTTCAGGGTCTTACTTACAAGTCCACTATATTCCATGTTTGTCTGTAAGAGCTCAACAAAGACAGGGTAGCATTGCTGAGAGAGAAAGATGGGCATCTTTTATGGCTGGATCTAGCTATGCTTCAAGAGAGATATACATCCCTGGGCTTCCCAGTTCTGTGACTCACCTAATTCTACTTGCTTCAGCTAGTATGATTGGATTTCTGTCACTAGCAACCCAAAGAGCCCTAACTAAAATGAAGTACAATCAACACCCTGACATTCAACCATGTATTTGAGAGTACTCCAGGACGAGGCTAAGTCGACCCAATAAAGGAATAGTCTTTACATAGTTTTTTTGTAAAAAGAATTACTGTAGATACCGGGGACTAATCTTTGAAGCAGGTCCCCCAAACCCTAGGGTGTAGACACATTAAGGGCAGAACTAAGAACTACCTTAATCAGACCATGGACTAAATCATGCCTGTTTCAAAGTGATACTGCTTCAGCTCAATAAGGAAAGAGAAAGAGAAAAAAGAGAGACCATAACACTTGAAGGAATCTCCTGAGCCTGGAAAAAAGATCTCGAAAGACCTGACTCTGAAATTAGGTCCAGGAAGTAAAAATAGACACTCAAGATCCTGTCTACTCAGCTACAAAATTGCTTAGGGGTGGAAACTCTTAGTCTGAAAGTAAAATGAATAAAATCCTGATGGTGGTGGTTATGTGCCATGGAGTCAGTTACGACTCATAGTGACCCTGTACAGGGTTTCTGAGGCTGTAAAACTTTACAGGAGCAGAAAGCCTCATCTTTCTCCCGCAGAACAGCTGGTAATTTCAAACTGTGGGTCGCAGCCCGATTCGTAACCTCTATGCTACCTAAACCAAAAACTTTTAAGACTCTGTGCTGTCAAGTCAATTTCAACTCACAATGACCTAATACAACAGAGAAGAGCAGCCCTGGGGGTTTTGAAGGCTGTAATCTTTTTGGGAACAGACTGCCACATTCTTCTCCAGCGCAGTGCCTGGTGAGTTTGAAGTTGTGACTTTTCACTTAACAGCCAAGCTCTTAACCACTGTGCTACCAGTGCTCCTGGACCTACCTTACTACAACAAACTCTTTGCCACTGAGTAGATTCCGACTCATAGCAACCCTAGTCTACACAAGGTTTCTGAGATAGCCAATCTTTGGGAGAGCAGATAGTTTCATCTTTCTCCCTCAGAGACCTACCTTGTTGTTGTTGTTATGTGCTGTGGAGTCGGTTCTGACTCATAGTGACCCTATACAGGGTTTCTGAGGCTGTAAATCTTTATGGGAGCAGAAAGCCTTATCTTTCTCCTGCGGAACAGCTGGTAGTTTCAAATTGCTGACCCTGAGGTTCGCAGCCCAATCCATAACCACTACTTTACCAGAGACCTACCTAGGCCTTTACAATTTGGCAAAGTCAGTTTGAACTGCAAGGTCGGCAGCTCAAGTTCACCAGCTGCTCCTTGGAAACCCTATACAGGGTCACTATGGGTTGGAACCAACTCCACAGCACCTAACAACAACAACAATCGAGTACATTAGAGTCCTGGTGTGGCACAGTCGGCTAATGCACTAGACTACAAAGTCACTTTGAACTGCAAGGTCGCCAGTTCAAGCTCACCTGCTGCTCCCTGGAAACCCTATACAGGATCTCTAAGGGTTGAAACTGACTCAATGGCACTTAACAAAAACAGCAACATCAAGTATATTATTTATATATTTCTACTCAACATAAATTCCATAGCCTTTTCTATGCTCAGGCCCACACTCTTCTGTGAGTTTGTCATACTGTGGTGGTTTGTACATGGCTGTGATGCTGGAAGCTATGCTACCAGTATTATAAATACCAGCAGAATCACCCATGGTGGGCAGGTTTCAATGAAGCTTCCAGACAAGACAGACTAGGAAGAAGACAAGGTGGATCACTTCTGAATGCTTAGCCACTAAAACCTTACGAATAGGAACAACATACTGCAGATATAGTGCCAGGAGATGAGTCCATCAGACTGGAAGGCACTCAAAATATGACTGGGAAGAGCTGCCATCTCAAAGTAGAGTTAACATGATGAAATCTTTGTGGATCTTCATTTACTCATTGGGTACACCTCAAAATTGGAAGTAATAGCTGCAA